AAATAGGTACTGTCACATGATGTGGATAATAACGTAAATTTAAGGGTTGTTTGGCAAATGTATCAAAATCCTCAATAATACGCATACCCTGTAGCAAGAAAAGTATTCTACATCTTAAGGAAATAATCAAAGACATGAATAAGGACATGAATAAGCATCAGGGATGCTTGTAATAATGATATCACATTATTTATAATAAAAATTTTAAACACCAGTACATTACTAAAATATGGTTCATTCATCTACATATTGATTAAAAATTATATATAATAATATTTACTGACATTAAAAGATTTCAGAATGTACTAAGTTAAAAGACATTATATTCAATATTATTTTATCTTTTAGAAACATACAAAACAAATAATGTGAAAGTTATATGCCAAAATGTTACTGGTGGTTGTCTTCATGGGAAGTGAGGAAAGATTATGGATGATTTTTATTTTCTTCTATTTTCTTCATCTGTATTTTCTAAGTTTTCCATAATGGAAGAGAAAGTTACTTTTAAAGTTTTTTTTTTTTAAAGAAATAAATAGTTGATAGTATGTACCCTTGATATGCTGTGATTAAAAACAGAACCTCATCTCTGTGGTCTTCCTGCTCAAAACCCATGAGAAAAACATAATCATGAAAAATATATCTAATTCCAATAAGTGAGGCTTCCTACAAAATACATAACCAAAATTCCTCAAAACTGTCAATGTCATCAAAAACACTGAAAGTCAAGAGGAATCTAAGGGAACATGACTCCTAAATGTAATATGGTATCCTGGATGAGATCCTAGAACAGAAAAAAGGACATTAGGTAAAAACTAAAGGCATCTGGGGCTGGCCCGGTGGCGCACTGCTACAGTGTGCCGCTTGGGAGCGCGGCAGCGCTCCCGCCGAGGGCTCGGATCCCACATACAGACCGGCCGCTCACTGGCTGAGCGAGGTGCGGGCGCAACACCGAGGGTTGCGATCCCGTTGCCGGTCCCGGTCCGGTACGGGCGCGACACTGAGGGTTGCGATCCGTTGCCGGTCACGAAAAAAGACAAAAAGGAAAAAAAAAAAAAAAACTAAAGGCATCTAAATAAACTCTGGATGTCAGTTAATAATAACGTATCAATATTGGTTCACTAATTGTAACAAGTATACCATGCTAATGCAAGATATTTGTAAGAGAAAATGGGTACAGCATATATAGGAACTCTCTGTATAATATAAATTTTGTAAATCTAAGACTATTCTAAAAAATAAAGTACATTTTTTTAAAAAAGAAATAAATAGTAGTATCTGAGTTAAAATTTTTACTGTTCTTCAGTTTCAGATGATTCCAAAGAAAATGTCAGAATATTGTGTACGTGTGGACAGAGAGAGAGAGAATGAACAAAATATTAGGTAGGTTTTCTTTTTAATTTTATAAAAGGAGCTCCTTGCAATACATATATACAACTTTTGTATATGTAATATATATTGTGTATGTCTGTACATATAGATCTCATCTATTTAAACTATTTCTATTTATGTAGAGATAGAAAATAAGTTATAAATGATTATAAGAAATAGAAATACAATTTTTAAGAAATATAAAATATATTACAGTGTATCTTCCCATACTGTAAGATGTGGTGAACTAACTTTAGGCAGAATGCTTATTTTGCTCAGTTAACAATTTATGCATCCCTAATTTCTTTTCTTACTAAATGTTGACCACTGAAATAGCACATCCTCTACTCCTAGAGGGAGCCAAGTCAGACAGCAGAGAAAGTGCTTACTAAAATAATTTTCTCTTCTTCCCTCAAAAGGGAAAAAGTCAGTGGTGGTGACCAATCCTGCACAAAGCTCACTACTAAGCCCTATGGAAGTAGGTTTCCCCTAAATCCAAACAAACTGTAGTCCCTTATGAAGCCTGCTGAGAAGACCAAAGGGAAAAGGCATTCCACTTGTTAAATGTTTATTATTTGAGCTTAGCAGCCAACTATAATAAGGGAAAGAGGAAGCAGTCTGCAAGCTGCATGCAGATTTAGCTACTCAAATTCCATGAACGTAAAATAGAACATTGAGGCTAAACCCTTAATATCTACTAGGCAGTAACTTGAGGGAGGTGGTAGTTGGTAATAAAAGCTTGGAGCTGCTAATATTTGGGTCAGTGATTTGAAAGCAACTCAAGTCAACAAAGAACTAAAATCCTCGACACTGGGAAAACCGTTGCTTCCTCTTACTCTAAGAATTACAGTCCACCAGAGGAAAGGTACAAATCTCTTCACTCTTATATCTCCTTTGAGTGTTATGCAAATGAGAACAAACAGAAAGCTGGACCCAGCCTCAGGAATTTTAGGGTCAAGTACTGGTTGTGTTGCTAATTGTCTGTCTTCTTGAGCAAAGGAGTTCACCTCTCTGAGCTCTGGTTTTCCCAACTCTAACAGAATAATATTGGATCCAATGCTTTTCACAAGGTTGAGGATCAAGAACTTTTTACAAGGTATGTGTTCAATTAAAGGTGAATTAATATAAAACCTGATCTATGGTACATTTTGACCTATCATCTATTAAATAATAATAGCTACTATTTATTAAGTGCCTAATAATATGCTAGAACATATCATATGAGGCCCTTTATATTCACTATTTTAATTCTCACTTTAACCTCCAAGGGATATCAAGCCTGATAATATCTGATAAGAAAAACGGGCTCATAAAAGTTAAGAAATTTGCCCAACGTCACAAACCTAGTAATAAATGGCAAAACTGTGATTCAGAACAGTCTGGATCTAAAGCCTATGATGTTTCCACTAGCTCCTTAGAATTAATCTGGCATTAACAGGAAAGGAGGCACTCACAGCAGTGCATTTTCCAGATGACTACATCTTAAGTTTAAAATTTTATGTAAATCTAAAAAATATAAAATAAACTTCCTGTTTTGCTTTAATTAACTAACCAAAGAGGAAGCCTTTGTTCCACAACTTTGGCTCATAATTGTGGACATTCTGATGTGGATCAGAACATTCGGTTCCTCAAACAATTGCAGATAGATCTATCATATGATCCAGATATACCACTGCTGGGAATACACCCAGAGGAATGGAAATCATCAAGTCGAAGGTATACCTGGTCCCCAATGTTCATTGCAGCACTCTTTACAATAGCTAAGAGTTGGAACCAGCCCAAATGTCCATCATCAGATGAGCAGATACGGAAAATGTGGTATATCTACACAATGGAATACTACTCAGCTATAAAAAAGAATGAAATACTGCCATTTGCAATGACATGGATGGACCTAGAGAGAATTATATTAAGTGAAATAAGTCAGGCACAGAGAGAGAAATATCACATGTTCTCACTTATTTGTGGGAGCTAAAAATAAATAAATAAGTAAACAAAAAAAACGGGGTGGGAGAAGACATAACAATTACAATTCCTTGAAATTGATAAGACAAGCGTACAGAAAGGACATTGTTGGGAGGGAGGTTTCAGTAATTGGCCACAATAATCAACCACATTGTATATTGACAAAATAAAATAAAATATTAAAAATAAATAAATTAAAAGTCTAACCTGGGGGGGGGGGGAAAAATTCGTAGATGTGTAAAGCTATCTGCCCTGCTGCTCAGCAACTCCAGCCCCTAGGGTTTCCACAGTTCTCTCTTTGCTAAGGCTGAGCCATCTGGCCTAAGCACCGGCAGTACCTCTCCCAACCCGTGCCCTAGCTACTTTTCAGTCAGTTAGGAAATCAGATAATTCATGGTATATAAATAAATCTAAGTCAATATGGCCCTCGGATAAGAGCTTGAAGGTGGTTCCTACTAAATACATCATATAATCTAGTTCTGCTATTTTCTTCTTTGCTTCCTTCTGGATTATAGCTGTGATCTGCAGAGATGAGAGTCCCTGAAAACAGACCTCCAGGTAAATGGAGCTATATTAAACAAATATAGTATCTTTCACAGTATCACCTGATCACTTTAGATTTCGATTTACCAAACTCTCATCTTACAGTTCTTAAAATGGAATAACAATATTAAAATATATAACTTACAAAACCTATCATAGAGTAAACTATTCAAGAGATTTATTTGTATTTAGTTGCATGATATCTGAAACACAACATGTATTAAACATTCTCACTAAACAATTATGCAATAATGATGGTAAACTATAAACCAGATAATAGTGGTGAGAGCCAAATGCAATCAAGAAAAGCTTTTCGTAACCTAAATGCAATCTCTTCCAAACACCCCATCTCTCTTTCCTATCTAAAGCCAGTGGAGGGAATGGATAAAACCCCCTTTGCATATCAAGTGTAACACTGAACACATAGCACTTAGTTGTTTACAAGTATGCCTCCTTCCCCTCAACCAGACAAAATGGAAACTCGCTGTGGGGAGGACTGTTTCTATCTCACCTTTTGTACCCTATTCCCAGAGCCTTGAATAGCAAGCTCAATGTAACAATTGCTTCGAAAGTGTGAATGAATGAAAGTCTCATTCATTCATTCTTTAAGTATATAATACTGCCCCTTCTACCACAACACCCTTCCCACATCAGTCCCTGGGAAGGGCAGTAACGCACTGCTTTCCATGAGATGGCTAACATATCTGTATTAAGCAGCAGTATAAAAGACAGAATCTTTTTTTTAAAACCAAGGTCACAGTAATGCAGGGTATCTGTTTTCAACTAACATATAAAAGTAATATGCCCTTACCTTAACAGTTAAAACAGATACATAAGCTCAGTTTCAGAATTTACTTTGTATATTTTAACAACATGAATTGCTTTTTACCCTTCTAAAATTGATTGTGTCTACTTGGAAGTTGAAGACAATATAATGGCAGTTCTTGAGATTTCTATTCATTTTGATTTCAGACATTTACACTTCATAAAAACTACTAAAACATACTGTCCCACATTCAAGAACGACTAGTCAGCTCATGGTTCACGCCTGGTGCCACCTGTTTACCATGCAGCATCAGTTTATTTACTATAGGTTCTTCTACAGTAAACTATTCTCTCAATACCTGTTAACTTTGGATTTTTTCCAGTTGACTTTTCTAATACCCAAATCCACATATGATTCAGTGAGTTCTATATTTAATTCTCCTTCTGAGTCACTTGGGGGTATTCCTAGTTTTGCAGCAGATTCATAGAGAGAAATTTCATGTTTGAGTCCTGTTAATTCTTCCTACAACACAAAATTATTGAAAATCATTTTCATTATTTTCCTATATGAAGAAATCATTCAATCCATCTGTGTTTCAAAATTTGTTTTAATGATAGATGGCAGAAAAACTTCTTCAAATACATTAGCAGACATTATAAATACCTTCATAAAGGCTAGCACAAGGTTTTTAAGTAAACTTAATGAACAAATGAATGAATGAATGAGAAAGCAAATGTAAGTAGTTTCTCTCACACCTCCCTCTGTTACATTTTGTCATCTATGAAAAGCACCCCTTGAGCTACAAGGCTGACGGCAGCACATTTTTGGCTTACTACAGTAAAGGACAAAGTAGACTGGTGTGCCGAGAACTGCCAGTGGTGAGAAAGCAAAAGACCTCTTTCAGTGGATGTAATACTGGAATATTTCTTCCCCAGTATTTTCCTCCCCCTCCAGTGAAAAATGCAAGTGGCAATGGAGATGTGAGAACTGCAACTAAATTAAATGCTCCACACACCTGTAGGTAAACTTATCTCTGGGTTACACCTGTAGATGAAAGCATTTGCCATGTGAAGAGGGTGGTGGGCAGAAGAGGACATGGCCCTGGCTCTGCAGTTCCACAGACCTGTGCTTGACTACTCAGCTGTGTGGGTGAGACTGTGAACAACTCTCATGGGCTGGTCTGAAGATGGTCCAACCACCTCAATTATATAGAGAAATCCAAGATTCAAAATGGTGATCTAACCGTTTCTTAATTCAGTCACCCATGGAGTCTCTTCCAAGTAACAATACTCACTTGCAAAGCCTTGTTCATGTTTTCACTCATAGCGTGTGCCTTTTGTGCTTGCTGCAGCTGGAGCCGTAGCTGAGCCACCTCCTGTACTGAGCCTGCAGAGGAAAGAGTCATAGGATACACTAAATGTAAGGAGACAAAGTACCTATTATCTACAGAACTTGAATCCACTGAGGCTACAGAAAGTGAAGTTCTGCTTTGTTACCACTATCATTTTAGGGGCATAAAGAGTATAGAGCTATTGAGACCCAGAAGGCATAGGTCTAGTCCAACATTTCTAAGATTTTGTATGGTTTCCTATATGTCCTTGGGGAGTTGAAGGCATGGGCTACTTGACCATGTTGTGAGTCACATCAGTCATGTCTATAGACCTTAACATAAAGAAGTCCTTTAATAGGTGCATAACATTCCAACTCATAGAAAGCCAAAGAAAAAAAATTTTGAAACCCCTTTCCACCCTCCAATAAGAAACTACATGTAGCAGCCTTTAGCTTCTTTTTAAATGCTTTTATTTTCATCACCCCCATATCTACATTTAACAAAGTATATTAGGGTTTTACTTCTGGAACTTTAGAATCCTAATATTTTAAATGTACTAGGGGAGATTCCTGTCTAAAAGGGACTTTATTGAGTTTCCTCAAAAGAAAATGACCATCAAGGCAATGATTAAGTGAAGTGATGACATATTATGCAGCTAAAGAAAATCATATTTTCAAAACCTTTAATGGCCAGGAAAAAGGTTCACCAAGTAATGCCAAGTGAAAAGAAAAGATATAAAACTAAATGGATCAGTTGGTTAGAGCACAGTGTTATAATACCAAGATCAAGTATTAAAATCCCTGTACCAGCCAGCCACCAGAAGAGAAAAAAAAAAAAAAACTAAACAGGGAGTATAATCCAAATTTTGCTCCCAGCTAAACATACACACATATTTAGGCAGTCCTTGACTTTAGTATTTTCAACTTTGACTAACCCACCCTTTCACATATTCATACTGTATCAACAGTCTGACTGCCTTACATATGCCAAAGTATGATTTTCATATATCAGTTAATGAATAACCATTGACCTATTTTCACAGTGTGAGCTACTCACTAGTAAACAGGGCAGTTTTAAATGCATAGCAGTGTGCGTACAAACATTTGATTATTTTATTACCTTTAACCTAATAGCATTTTATACAGATTAATAAAGAAGAAAACTACCACTGAACTAATATGATAGGAAGCATCAAGTCTCAAACTTAATACCATGGAGACCATACAAGAAATCTTTTTTTTTTTTTTTTTTTTTGTCTTTTTTCGTGACCAGCAACGGATCGCAACCCTCAGTGTCGCACCCGTACGGGATCGCAACCCTCGGTGTCACGCCCGCACCTCGCTCAGCCAGTGAGCAGCCGGTCTGTATGTGGGATCCGAACCCTGGGCGGGAGCGCCGCCGCGCTCCCAAGTGGCGCACTGTAGCAGTGCGCCACCGGGCCGGCCCCCATACAAGAAATCTTAAGCATGACAAAAATGTAACTCTCTGGCCTCAACTGACCAGTTAGATGGCTATTCCATTGTGAAGGGAAAAAAGTAAAGAAGTTATATAAAAGGAAACAACTATATGATCAAATAGTGGGCCTGAAAAAAGCAAAATATAATGGAACTTTATAATCATTTTTAGCTTTCAGGGATAGAACTTACCTTATAAGATATATTTTATTGTTCAATTTCTGCACATTCAGCTTTAGTATGTTTTCAGAAATGCACTACACACAGAAGCAAGGTATTATCTATGTGTGTGCATTCATTTCACTTGAAGAAAACACATTCAAATGTTAACAATAAGTATCTCTGATTAGTATGATTATTGGTTATTTTTATTCGGTACTTTATACTTATCTGCATTTTACAAATTATCTAATAAAAATAAACTACACCTTTATATATATCAATATTAAAAGGAAAGAAAAAAGTGTATCATCAATTGCCTTTTCTGTCTCTTCTTCTGGATTTTTAGAATTCACAGATCCTTCAATGTTCTCTCTGCATCTTATACTGGCCTTCTGGGGAGACAGTAGCCCAACCAGACACCCACCTGACTGCAACAAGTGGGCACACTGCTGTTGACTCTCCTCTAGACTTCTCGTCAACCTGTTAATGATCTCAGTCTTTTCTAATTTGATTGCTTCTTCATTCCTTTCCAGTTGTTTCACATGATCTTTCAAATTAGAGCAAATGACTTCCTGAATAGAAAGAGTTCAAGTCATTTTCATGATCAGTTTTAATAAACAGTAAACAAAAAATTATCATACATAATTGAATTTTAAGTCAAATATAAAATCATCACACGGCAGCATCACCTTTTTTACAGGGTTAAGTGCACAGTATCAAGAGTCAGGAGAACAAACTTGTGTGATCTTGAGTGTGGCCTCAACTTCTCAATCTGTTTCTTTTGTAATTATGCTAATGAAGATTGAATTAGATGATTTCCCAAGTCCCCTTCTACTCTATATTCATAAGACACTGTTATTCTCAAATTAGATTTTATTCAAGCCAGAAGAAATATATTACATTTCTAATTGCATTATGCTATTAGGGACACTTATATCAGTATACCGATATATATATTTACATCAGTATATATCAGTACATGTATACATATTTAGGCAGACCACTTTGAATCATGGAATTTGTATCCCAAGACAGCAAGGACACAGATAAACACATGGAAACTCACTCTACTCTGAGTAGCCAAAAGCTCATTCTATTCAAGCAGCAAAAATAATCTTTCCCTCATCTGAACTCCTTTTAAAGTTGATCTGTAAATCTCTTACCTTTCACATGTCTTATTTCTCTTAATAGTCTCCTTGAAGGTACCTCTGCAGTGCCTTATAGAGGGGCAAGTACTATGACACTTGAAAAATGAATGACAAGGAAAAATAAACAGGCTAAATGTGCAAGTGTGTAATTATATGGGCATATATAGAAAATATAGTTTGTATACAACATACTCAAGTTCCTCCAAAAAGGAAATGTGTTTGGGAGTAACAAGCCACGGGAGTCCCAAGTCCAGGTAGGAGGAAACATCACTGAAGAAATTACTGCTCACTCTAAAAAGGCTACACAGGCTGAATTCCAGGCTAATGGCAGAATATGGGAGAGAGAAGAGTGAGTTGAGGTAATTGGTTAAAATTTACTTTAAGGATACTAACACAAGGAACGCCCCATCATGGTACTAACATAGAAATTTCCTTCAGCAGTGGAAAGGGACTCTGAAGTCTACCATTTTAGCTTAAAAATTCACATGAATTTTGTATTCTATTTCATAATGTAGCTGTGTTTGCTTTAAATTTTTCTACCAATTTTTTGAGCAAAATGAAGCTTCTGGAAACTGGTCCATGTTTATTCAACACTGCAAACCTCTTGGCACATGCTGCTAATTCCCAGGCCAGCTTGAGAAGCATGGTTCTAAAGTGCCAAAGCAACATGGCAAACACAATGAATGAGCTAATATTAATAACAGTGTGAATGTGTGTGCAAGACGGAGTCGGAAGACCACTAATATTTATGTTCTGGGGAGGTCACAATAGTTTTTACAAGAGAATGGGAACTGGCAAAAAAAAGTTAAAGAAAAGGTAAGTACGAAAAAACATTGTAAAGAAAAGGCAGACTCTAGCAATAATTTGACTGTATGCAACAATCAATTAAATCATGGTGTTTCTTGTTGCTGACTTCCGGGAAACAGATTATATTTATAAAATTATGAAGTTTTAATACCAAAAAACAAACAAAAAAATTGTAGTAGTTTCATCTTTTCCATGATTAGCTTAAGTGTGAACACTCAGTTCAAGACTGATAAGGGCAGATATCTTTTAAGACTGAACAAGACAGGTGTGGTTATAAAGAGATGATAGCTGAATCTGCAGAGAAAATAGAACTGAACAGGATTCTAGTGCACAGAAAAATGAGAATTAGACCACACACAGAGAGGTCTGTGTAGTCTCTTAGTCAAAAGAAAGTGCTCAAAGTGGAACCCTTAAATATAATAATAAGAAAAGTAGAAAATAGATCAGGTGAAGGTAATGGCATAAAAACATAAAAACTATATCATAGATTGCTATTTCTCACATTACATGGAATTAAACAGTCCCTGTACTGAATTTTGTCTTTCAAAATGTAATTAAACACCCATTCATAATAATTAAAAAAAAAAACTCTCAGTAAACTAGGTGTAGAGGGGAACTTCAACTTGGAAAAAAAAAAACCCTACAGCTAACATCATACTTAACAGTAAAAACTGCTCTAAAAAATAAGGTCTATTAACATATATATATTTTATAAATTAAACATACATAAGCCTGTCTACATCCTGATATTTAGCTGTTGTTCAATAAAAGTTTGTTAAACAGATGAAATAATATTAGACTACAAGGTAGTTATCATCCATTCCCACCAAGAACAACATTTTTATAAAGCAGTGAGTTTTAACCTTTTGTGAGACATGGCATAAACCTCCTGGAAAATCTGAATCAGCTCATGGGTCTTCTCCAAAAAACTGCATATTCTCACCCAACAGAAAATCTTACCCACAATTTCATAGGATTCATGGGCTTCCTGGGGCCTAGTCATGAACTGTCTTAGGAGACACTGGGTTAAGAATCTCTGTAAGTAGTGAAATTTACTGTGTGTGAATATCTACCCTGTTAACACTGCGTACACACAATACATAGGTATGCAGTTGTGTATGATTACATGAGAGCTACTCAGAACCAAGACACTGGAAAATTTACTCAAGTTTTTCTGGGTAAATTGTCCAGTTATCTGTACCTTGCTACTATTTTCCAAGAGTTGATTCACTTTTCTTTGTAATCAGTTGAATGGAGTATACTGGGAAAAGATTTATTTGAAAGGGAAATATTGTACCTCTCCTCAATAACTTTTGTAAAGAAAAAAGAGGGCAAGGGGCAAAATGCAGCATGTGTATATGGTTACCAGGTATGTAAGAAAACCTAAATTAACTCTCTCTTTGTGCAACACATTCATGCATTTTTCTAATTATAGGCAGGCATCTTTCTAGGTCCTGGCTGATTTTTATAGTACCTCTCCAACCAGGAATTTAAATTTGGACTCTGAGATAATATAGATTGAATAAACATACCCTGACCTTTTTTGAAAAATACTGCTGAGCAAATTGATAGCAAATTCACAGCACAAAAGTGATACCATAAGAAATATTCCCAGAAAGAACAAACTAAACACTTCAGAATCACTACTTTGCAAAGCAGCTATGCAATTAAATGCAGAACCTAACATCATGCCATGCTCTGTTAAAAACGTAATAAAATAAAAACATTTATAGAACATAAAAGTGGGGAAAGATCTTAATCAACACCTTCGATTTATGGTTCAGGAGTCTGAAGCCCACTCAGCACAGAATCAATATTTTGTTCTGTCTTCTAGTCTAGTGTTCTTATATTGAAGCAAGGGGGTATGGGGCATGGGATGGGGGAATGAGAATAAAGAATGCAGTGAGCAATAGAGTAGAACACACTAGGAATTCCCTCCAGGCCATACCCAATGTAATTGTGTCTAAATCAACAGAGAATGGAGAGATCGGCAAATAACCCAGCACGGAAAAGCCACCAGACTCCATTCTTCTCTAGTCATCCAAAACGGACCACTGTCCAAGTCCAACTAACTTTAATGCTACTACCTTGTGTTTGGACAAAATTAATTTTAACAATAAAACTTTTAAAATTAAAATGATCAAATCAAATAAAAATTAATAAAACTATATCTCAAATTCTTTTTGTTTAAATTTTCTATAAAGCAGACTTTTCAATAATTAGGCATAGTTCTCATCTTTCCCCACCCTATGTATCTTCCACATTAATCAAATTTACAATATGTTTCTATGTAAAAGTAATAACAACATAATTAGTAAAATACACCTAATAAGAATTCATATAAATACATACAAAAATAAAATGGTATATAAACAATTATTGTCAATAATGCAATCTTTTATAGCTCTAGCTAAAAGCATGGTAAAATTTAGAGTCAGCTATGTAAGTCAGAAATAACAAATCAGGATGAATTTCAAGAGTGGTGGGTTTCTCCACAACCTCACAACATATTTTTCTTCTCTTCTTCCCTTGGGTGAAATCAATTTTGAATTACATTACAAAAATGCATTCTAAAATTTTATTCATTCAAGTGATTACCTAGAGTTTTGGAGCACAAACAAGCCCATCACCTGACTCATCCACAGCTAACAATGTTTTATTTACTTTTGGGAAAAAAATTGACTGTGCAATATGCTCAAGTTTCAAATGTCAATGTGGACTCTCTCCCTTATTTTATATATTACACTATTCTCAAAATAAATTCTTTTCCCAAGAGCCATATCTCGACAGTCTTTATTGACAGGTGTATTACCAAATGCTGGGAGGCCCCAGATAGGCTTTCTACTGGTTAAGCTCCCAAGACAACCTCACAGGTTCTGGCCAGCCCCCACACTCATTCCTTTCGGTCTAGATTTATTCTAGGACCATACAAACAATATGCATAAATATTCTACAAATAAAGCACAAGTAAAGTGAGAATGGAGAAAGGACAAACCAATCCTACAAGAAGAAGAGTTTCTAAAATTATACCTTCAGGGCCGGCCCGTGGCTCACTCGGTAGAGTGCGGTGCTAATAACACCAAGGCCCCGGGTTCGGATCCCACATAGGGATGGCCGGTTCGCTCACTGGCTGAGCGTGGTGCTGACAACACCAAGTCAAGGGTTAAGATCCCCTTACCGGTCATCTTTAAAAAAATAAATAAATAAAATAAAAATAAATAAAATTATACCTTCAGGTGGTATTCATAGATTAAAAAATCATTGGCTCTTAAGTTTCACTCACAGTCTAACATCGAGTATAAACATCCAAAATTTCTATACAATGAACCACAAAATATCAGTTATAAAGAATAACCAGCTTTACTTGTTGATAACAGTTGTTCATTTGAAATCATCCCAACCTGCTCCTTAAATGCAGTAATCGTAGCATCCAAATTCTTCTGTAAGGACAACACTTGCTCTTCATACTTCTTTGTGAGGCCCATGACAATGCTCTCATGCTGCTCTCTGGTTCGTTGAAGTGATTCAGAATGGTGAAGGTCCACTAGTTGCTGCTTCAAGCTTTCCAGAGCCATTTCTGTTGTTCTGGACTTCTTGATCATCTGGTAAATACACACAGGAGACCCACATCTATGGCATTTTTACTCTGCACGCTCTGTAGACTTTAACTCTGAAACTACCACACTTTAATCAGAATAAAGAAGGGGTCTCCCCTCCATCATGGCTCCCGCTCTTTAAAACTTCCCTAGCTGGAACCTGCCAGGCTCGTGGTTGTTGGAAATAATATTTATTGAGAAAACAGATTTTGTAGTTACCTGAGGAGAGTGAAAGAGGATTTTACGCAGCCGCAGCATGATGGCAATGTATGTATCAGGCAAGGAATTTGCTGTTACTGTACTGGTCCCAGTGTCATTTGCATTGCTCTGTGAGCAATGCATGGGGCAACCCAATTATTAGGTCATAGAAAAATGACGACTGTTTCTTGAAAGGCATGAAACCTGCCAATGGTCACTTACTAAAAACAAAGTTTTGAAAGCTAGAACTGCACAGTGTTGTAGGCAAAATAATGGCCCCCAAAAGATGTCCACGTTTAATCCCCAAAACCTGTGAATATGTTAGGCTACGTGGCAAGGGAAAATTAAGGTTGCAGATGGAATTAAAGTGGCTAATCAGATAAGCTTAAAATTAGGGGATCAGCCTGGATTATCTGGGTGGGCCCAATATAACCACGAGGGTCCATAAATGAGGAAAACTGAGGCAGAAAAGTCAGATCCAGTGAGACTCAACAAGTCACTGCTGGCTCTGAAGAAAGAAATAGGCCACAAGCCTAGGAATGCAGTTGGCCTCTAGAAGCTGAAAAAGGCAAGAAAATGGATTTCCCCTAGAACCTCCGGAAAGCAATGCAGCCCTGCTGACACCTTGATTTTATCCTAGTGAGATCCATGTCATACTCTGACCTCCAGAACTGAGAGATACATTTGTGTTAAGCAAAGCCACTAAATTTGCTATTACAGCAGCAGTAGGAAATTAATATACTTGGTGATTCTGTTGCCTTTATTTCATTTTTTATTTATGCTACTCTATTTATTTGTAAATGCAATTTCTAGATTAGATTATAAAAAGATTACAAAGTTATAGCCTGTTACTACATAAAAGCAATTGAACTTTTTTTTTTTTTGTCTTTTTCCGTGTCCGGCAACGGATCGCAACCCTCAGTGTTGCCCCCGTACCGGACCAGGACCGGCAACGGGATCGCAACCCTCGGTGTTGCTCCCGCGCCTCGCTCAGCCAGTGAGCGGGAACCGGTCTGTATGTGAACTTTTTAATCTAATAACTTTGTCAGTTTTCAAAAAGTTAGAAATAATTCACATTACATACAAAAATTAAAATTTCAAATGAGAATTATTCTTCATTCTATTCTAGAGATTGCCTATTTATTCCAATACCATTTTCATTGCCAAGACATTTATTCACTTGCTCAATAAAGAACACAAATTGTCCACCAACCAGGCTTGGCTACTAATGACTTGTGACTATTTCTATATATCATATTGCTGTCTATCACATTAATCAAAGAATGTGTCACCACTTTAAAGGCAAGTCTAAAAAACAGTCCCCCAAATGTTTAAAAAGCAGCAAGATTATCTCCGCCTTCCTCAAAGAAAAATGGGGTGACAACTCTGAAGGGGAACTATTTGGTTCAGGAAATTTAGGTTCTGATGCTCTGTCAATAACTGGTTTTATACCCTTGGGCTGGTAATTTGACCTCTCTAAGACTTGGTAAACTCATCTATGAAATGGTAAGATATAATACCTTCCTAATCAGAATTCCAAGACTTTTTCACAAACATGAGAAGCTGATTTGCAAAATCTAGAAGAGAAAATGTGGAAAAGAGTTGCAAAATTTTTGAAGAATATTAAGGGTAGCCCTTGTTTACCAAATTACAAAACACACCATATAAAGCTCTAGTCATGATAATATCAGAGTGGAAATAGAGAAATAAATAAGAAAATCTATATATATATAGATTAGATCAATTTTGAACAGCAATGTTCACTTGGCATACATTGACCACCAACTACATGCCACGTGCTGACCCTAGGTGGTGGGGGTACAAAGATGAGGGGAGCCCCGTTGCCTTCAAGAGTTCTCAGCCTATTATAACAGAAGTGCTCATCTGGCTTGGATGGAAAAGGAAACCTGTGTGCAGGCACCTGTTAATCAAATACCACTGTGCCTGTGCCATGGGAAGGGCATTCCAGAGAGACTACTGAGTTTGGGGAGAGTAAGAGAACAGATAGGCAAGGATCAGATGGTCATCTTAATACTGTATTTCAGATCACAGGAAAAGTGGGGTGATTGAAAGGCTTTAAGCAAGGAAAGGACATAATCAGAACTGCATTCTAGAAAGATTAGTCAGATGATCAAAAGAGAGATTTTGTGGAAGGGTAAAAGACTAGAAACTAATAAGAAACTTTTGCAATAAGAGGGTAAAACCCTATATAGACAAAAATGAGACCCAACAGAACCGAGTGGCTAACTGGACAAAGGGGAACAGAGGACGTGAAGTCTCTCTCCTCCAGATGTCGGCTGTAGATGACCAGGTGGACTCAGCACCACTCCTCCAAGGTAGGCAAGGAGAAGCAGACTTCTTGTGGAGGAAGATAACAGACAGTTATCTTCACAGTTCTTCTAAATTTAGTCCTATCCTACCAAAAGTTTTCCTAACTAACCTTTTCACTTAACTTTTTTACCATAAATAATCAAGTTAAACTATTTACCTGTTCTTCATTGACTTTCAATGCTTGTATTTGGGTCTCCAGTGCTTTTATTTGTGCTTCAAGCTGTATCTCTCTTTCTTTTCCATTCTGAAAGAGTTTCTGTGATTCTCGAAGGCTGAGGGTCAAACCATCCTTTTCATCTAGGGCATTAAAAATGTTTACCTAAATAATGTATATTACTGTAGAGGAACTCCAATTGTCATAATCCCTATTAGATATCAGACCTATATCATACACAAATGTCATTGAATTAAATTCAGTTTAGACAAATGACTTTTAGTTGACTTACAGAAAACCAGATAAAGAAATTATTAAAAACAAAAAAACCCAAGAGACACCCAAAAAATTTTAGAGAACCAGAATCACTTCCTTTAAAAATCTTATTGTATCCCTTCTGGGTCCAAAAGATTTACTAATAATTTCAGCATCTGTTTACCTGAGAAGCTACATAGATATAACAAACTCCTGCTAATCAAAGAAGGTATCTGAAGACTAATTAGCTCCTACACATACTTGCAATGAACTCTTCAAAACACCTAATCTTAAGATCTTCCCACATACTTTGCTATAACACCTCACAAGTTCTTCTCTCAAAGTAAATTTTATGAGCAATACAGAAAAAGACTTTTTCACTATCAATTAACTTTGAAATGAGCTAGAGTTCAGTCACAAAATGATCCTACAAATGAAAGTTCAACATTGACCAAAACTACAGAAAGCACAAAGAGTAAGAAATTATAATGTGAATCTGTGTTTACTACACATGCTTATCCTAGATATGGCACCATTTTCTCTCTGGCACACCTACAACAATTCAGGATCACTAACTCTTACTGGGATTAAAATGTTTATGCTAATTTGTAGGCTCAGAAAATGTCGCATTGCAAACTAAATACAAGTCACTCTGGGAATTAGAATACATCATCCAAGGTAATGACATAAGAAATAAACTACCTTTCAGGATAGAATGCCATCAGCATAGTTAAATAATGTTCATTGATTCTAACAGCCTAAGAAAGAAGGTGGGGCAATAGAAAGAAGGGAAAGAAGAAAAAGGAAAAAAATGTGGACTACAAAATAGTACGTTCTGGAGAGAAGTAATCCAAGGCAAGGACTCAGAAGCCCTGGGTTTTTGTTTTGCTCTGCCTGACTTGTTGTTGAGCCCTCTGACCAAGTGCTTCAACTCTCTAAACTTCATATTAAAGTGGGGTTATTGGAAATAAGATATCTAGCTCTAGTGTACCTTATAAATGACAGCACCCAGCAGTTATCTTACCTTTGATCATCAGAAGCTGGTGATTCAGATATCGAATTTGATGTTCACTTTCATTTAACTTTTCAACTAAATTGTCTAATTGTCTCTCTTTTGCTTTGTTAAGAACCTGAAGTTGAATAATCTGTATATTTTCTGCCGAATCTGCTTTGGAATTAAACACAAGTTATTAGATAAAAACACACCATTTGTGGTCCTTTAGAGCAGTGTTTTTCAAACTGTGGATACAACTTATTAGAGTAACATGAAATCAATTTAGTAGATTGTGACTAGCATTTAAAAAAAAACAAGGTAGAATATAATAGAATATATCAGACAGCATCACGTAGTAGGAATAAGTATTATTTTATAAAATGTTGTTTCGTTATGTGTAGATACTTACTTATATAAATATATATTGTAGACCACATCACAACATAAAAATTTACTTCTTACTGTTGGTCACTGCCAGAAAAGTTTGAGAGTCACTGATTTAAAGTATAACCCTGGGGCCGGCCCAGTGGCGCACTGCTACAGTGCGCCTCTTGGGAGCGCAGTGGCGCTCCCGCCGAGGGTTCGGATCCCACATACAGACCGACCGCTCACTGGCTGAGCGAGGTGCGGGCACAACACCGAGGGGGTTGCGATCCGTTGCCGGTCACAAAAAAAGACAAAAAGGAAAAAAAAAAAATAAAGTATAACCCTGAATCACTACCATTTTGGCCACTTAAAAACCAGTATATAGGGCCGGCCCAGTGGCGCACTGCTACAGTGCACCGCTTGGGAGTGTGGCGGCGCTCCCACCGAGGGTTCGGATCCCACATACAGACCGGCCGCTCACTGGCTGAGCGAGGTGCGGGCGCAACACCGAGGGTTGCGATCCGTTGCCGGTCATGAAAAAAGACAAAAAGGAAAAAAAAAAAAAAACCCAGTATATAACAACTACAATGGCATAGAGTAAAATGCTCTCATAAATTAAAAACAGAACAAGCACATCAGTTTTTTAAAAAATCACTTTTAAAGAAAATTTCCAGACACCACTCTCAACATACTTTAAGTAGGAATAGGAAATATACTGTATTTATATTTATATTGCTACACAACTGCTGAATTAATTAACTAATGAATAGATTAATAAAGAATTGTGAAGTCTTCTTTCAGAAACAAAAACGATTTAGGAATCGCTCTTTAAAAAGTCTAGAGAAAAAATGGAAAAAATGATTGGTGAGAGAAAAATAATGTTTCAACTATGTAATAATAAACTCTTAATTTTCTACTAGAATAATAATTCTGTAAATTTACAATCAGTATTAAGTGCATTTACTGAGTTTTAACTACTTGCTAACAAAATAATGCAGTCTTTTGTTTAAAAAGAGACATGGTTAAATTAAAAAAACTGAAGATTGAAAACTTCGTTATCAGTCAAACTCCTCTTAGGCCTTATTATAGCAGGGCTACCCCCAAAATAATTACAGTCTCCAAGCCCCACCTCTCTTCAAACTCACTTTTTTTATTTTTTTATTTTTATTTTTTGGACCGGTAAGGGGATCGCACGGTGTGGTCTGCACCACGTTCAGCCAGTGAGTGCACCGGCCATCCCTGTATAGGATCCGAACCTGCGACCTCAGTGCTACCGGCGCTGCACTCTCCCAAGTGAGCCACGGGGCCGGCCCCAAACTCACTTTTTAAAACCACTGTTGCTAAGAAGCTGTAATCCCTAAATTTGGCACTACCATTAAGTTACTTAATTAACTTCAAAATGTCAAATTTAGGCAAATGTGTAACTGACTTAAAAAATAAATCAACTTGATAAATTGCAGATTGTTAAGAAAAGTGATAAAAGGTTACATGTGCAGAAAGACCAGGAGATAAAAATGTTAACTGAATATGGGAGAACTGAAAGAGTAAACACCAAGGAGATGTCAGGTCACTGTTGTGATGCTGTTTACTCATCCTAAAACCAGTAATGCCATACACGCTGTCCACTTCTTCACTGCACAAACACCTATGAACAAAGACAGGCCATCCCCCTATTTGCTATTGATGCCTTCAGGGGATAGGGAATTCTGGGCCTCCCCCATAACTATCCTGTGGCCCAGCATATGATGGAAGCAATTCTATGAAGCCCCAGCACACAAGCCCAGTTTTTTCTTTGGCCTAGCCCAGGTAACACAGAATTTCCAGTATGACTTTTCTCCTACTAATAAAAGGGAAACAAAACAAAACAACTCGCTATCACACTTAAGAATCACACTAGCTCATCAAAATGCACAACAATTAAACATGGTTTAATATGCCAGAGAGTATAACAATAAAAGTTAAACACACAAAAACACTAATTCAGGATAGTCACTGAATTTTTTGTTTTTGCTTTTTCTGGCTTGTTTTGAAACCAGCGTTTCATCTCAAAATTCTCTAGTAGCTATAAGCACTTTTCTCATTCTTATGTTTATACACATACTATACAAAAAAACCCTTTAATCAATTGCCACATGACTGAGCCTGACATCTAATTCTAATTTTAAATATAGAGTAATTATTACACCAAAACTGTACAAATTAAAAGAAAAAAATAAGATAATGGCTGATTTATTAAATTACATTTCTATATAATGAAAAACCTGAAATTGAAGAGAAAACTATATTTTATCTTCCAAATTAGACTTTAGCAAGACAAATATAAAGCTTACAAAAATATAAAACTAGAATGACTGAAATACAGAGTTGAGAAGAATTTCTTTGAACTTTTTATTATGGAAAATTTCAAATATGAGAATGCTTCAAAAAGTTTGTGGAAAAATGGAATGAAAAGACAATATGAATCTTTCCGTGACTTTTTTCAAGACTCCTCATATATAGAAAGTTCAGAGAAAAACACAATGAATCCCCAAGAACCCATCTCCCAGATTCAACAATTGTGAACTCATGGCCAGTTTTGCTTCCTCTATACTGCCACTGAACATTACCCCCCAACAACATACTGTTTTGAAATAAATCCTAGACTTCATATCAGTTTATTCATAAACACTTTGGTATATATTTCTAAAAATAAGGGCTCTGAAATACCAGACATAATTTTATTGTCATACTTAAAAAAACAATAATTCTTCAATGTGCCCAAATATCCATTCAGTGTTCAAAATTCCCCAATTATGTTATTAAAAATTAAATATAGACTTGATACCTACTTCCATTAGCTCCTAAAAATTGCTGTTGCAGGCCTTCAAATGTGTCACTTCCTGCTATCTCCTGGGCTGGTGAGCCATTATTCTGGGCAGAAGACTGATAAGGTATATATGTCACTTTATATGGTTCCAAAGCTTGACAACTGGGACCTTGTGCTGAACCAAATTGCTATTACAAGATGACAAATGAAATTGACAATTAGCATTTGGCCTTTTCTTCCAAAATTATCTGAATTTGACACCTTACTTTTATTTTACAGATCTTAATTGTGGTATAATTATAAATTTTATATATACGTCTTTGCTCAAAAATAGCATTTATTGTTATTTAACACTGTTAATGGAAAGTCTATAATATATAAGTTACAGATACCTTAATTGTACTTTTGAGCATATAATGTAGCAAATTTCATAAATAAAACTAGAGAATTTCAATGAGATTGTATATAAATATTTTATTACAAATGATACAGATGATGTGAACATCTTGGAAACATAAAAATGCTCATGCTCAATAACAAGAACATGTGATACAATACCTCATATGTAATAAATATTCAATAACTTTTGTGGAATAAATAACACTCTACAGAGATAGAATTAAGAGAAAATAACCACCTTAAAAGAACCAAAAAATCATCTTGTCACTGGGTGACAGAATATCTATTGGAAATACAATGCGTTTGTTGTCATTAAGAAATTCAAAGAAGCAACTAACTGTCTTCTGAGGTCTTACTTCATACTAAATTCTCCCACAGTAAAAACAAGGTGTATTTTTTACCTTAACATTCATCCTGTCTACTGTTATATCACCATATACCAGCTTTGAAGTGTCTGACCTAAAATTCGTAAAAGTGTCTGAACTAAAACAGGTATCAGCTTTGAAGTGTCTGACCTAAAATTTGTTATAAGAGCGGTAAACAAGAAAATTGAGGAAACTAAATGCTCTCATCTACGTAGAATTACTGCTTTAAAAACTATACCAAGATACCTGAACATAATGTCTCACTGAAGCACAGTGAAGTGGTAAAAGCCAGAACCAGCAGTAAATGAGGACAGTTATTCTTTGGCAGACTTAACTTTTCTATGTTAAAATAACTGTTTCCACAAAGCCTCTATTTTAAACTTCTGACTTAAGATTGTGGTTGTATTAGACAGTAAACAGAAAACAGCATGACTAATTAAGCATGAACCTGAATAAGTGCACTCTTTTTTTTTTTTTTTTTTTTTTTTTTTTTTTTTGTCTTTTGGCTTTTTTCGTGTCCGGCAACAGATCGCAACCCTCAGTGTCGCGCCCGTACTGGACCGGGACCAGCAATGGGATCACAACCCTCGGCGCTGCGTCCGCACCTCGCTCAGCCAGTGAGCGGGAACCGGTCCATATGTGAGATCCGAACCGTCGGCGGGAGCGCCGCCACGCTCCCAAGCGGCGCACTGTAGCAGTGCGCCACCGGGCCGGCCCGTAAGTGCACTCTTAAAAATTTTTGTAGTTAAAATAAATCATCTCACCATTGCACTCACATACCTTTCTTACACACACACATACATCATGCAAAGGCATGTGCACATATACACACATTCTTGAAAGTCAAGTTCTTGCAATACCTGAAAATGGTTCCTTTGAGAATCCGAAAATGTAATTGCATTGGTTGGTTGGTTATTAAATTCCTGCTTCTGACCATTGGTATACGGCCTGAAGTTTTCAGGAAGGTGATATAAATCAGTCTGTTCACAAATGTGAGGAGGACTTGGAGGACTATAACCACTTCCGCCTTCATCTCCTCCTTCTTCAAGATGGTACCCAGGATACCGGTCTTCAGTTTTACTTCGATTTTCTTCCCAGCCATTGCCACATTTCTCTCCAACATAGAAACCCTTTAGTTCATTACAGTCCTATTAGATAACAAGAGTAAAACAAAAGCACTAAGATCTATTCCCACCCACAAAGTCATCGTCACCCCACATACTTACATTTACACTTTGAGATTTGGGCAGCACTTGATGCTCATTCCAGTTCATCTCCAATTGCTCAGAATGATGTGCTCTTGAGGAAAAGCAATACTTTAGATTTAAAGCCTACCACTTCTTTGGACACAGATTACACAAAGAATCCCAAGATTTTAAACTCCAACCCTCACCCAAAATTTTAAGAACCAGTCTACATTTTTATAATCACATACATTATTATTACCTGCGGAAAATCAAAAGAAAAAGACTTATAGAAGAGCAATAGATAATTGACAGTGATGTCAGATCCTTACTCTTCCTCTACGCCATCCTCGCTGCAGTCTGAATAGTGGAGCTCAGGAGAGGAGAGGTCATCATCCAGCATATCATGAGGAAGGTCTGTGAGTAACTGCTGCAACTGAGTCAGAAAAGCCTGCATCAATATCACACCAACTGAAATACAAGACGCCAAACCAAGGCTGCCTTGGAACAAGTGATTTTTAACTGTAGAAGTCGAAAAAGTTCCTAATTCCTCCAGTAAATTAATTTCCTAAACTTCACATGAATTACGTTTATAATTTCACTTGGGAAAAGGGGAATTGCTATTATCAGGCTTTTTTTTTCCTGCAAAGGTCTCAGATTTAAATACACATACATTGCAACAGAGCTGAAAAACTTCTTTATGGAAACAGCAAGTCACAAAAGCACAATCTTTGTATTACGTTATCACAGAGCAGACTCGAGTCTCAGAATCCTGTTTTACCACTTGACAATCAGTCATCCCACGGGGAATCTAAGTAGCCAGATGCACTTTGCCCAGGTGATGAGAACAGCAGCAGCGGCAGGTGGCCTAGAAGCCCTTAAAAGCTCTGACAATAGGATAGAAAACCCTTGGGTAGCGACTAATTAGAAGACAGCCATCTAATTCCAATGATGAAAAGATATATAATACTCTGCTCCTATAGAACATTTGAGTAAAAGGAGAGTTGAAAGATTCAGTTTTCTACAGATAGCATACTGAAAAACGTAACACTAAAACTGACATAAACAATTTGACTTTGCACTCTGATTTTTCTCTAGAAAAATCATGTTTTTAGCATTCTGCCTAAATAAATAGATAAAAGTAATGAATATTCAAATTTCAAGATAAACTGATAAAGAGATGAATAAATCACCTGATTTGCTCTGAATTTTAATAATCTATCCGCAATTGTCTTTGTTCAAATCCCAAAATAAAGTGTCTTAAAATTTGTAACCATCAGAAGATTCAAATATTATTACTAAATAGTTTGTAGGGAGATAGCTCACAATAAGTTATCTTTAAAAAACTAAGCACCAATGTAATTAACAAGTTGACTAAGTCCCTCCAACGTACATAAATCAATCCCATAAAATTATGAAGTTTAAAGACTTCAATACTCTGTAAAATCTTGGAGAAAAAAACTGAGATGCTCCTTAGTTTTTTTGGCAGTTTTTTTTCTTTTTTCACTTTCTCTGTCATTAGTATTTTTTTAAAAATAGAGTGTAGCTATAAAATACATGTGAGTATCATGTTTAGAACTAAAAAAAAGGTTTCTTAAACAAAATACATATGATAAAAGTTAAATAGACATATTCTAAGAAAGGTCTGAAAGGAATGCCCCAAATTGTTAACTTGGAGTTTTGGTGAAATAAAATTTGGGAATGGTAATGGAGTATGTGAGGTAGAAAGGAAGAAAACGTTTTGCTCCCATATATATTTCTGATACTCGCTGGATTAAAAAAAAATTCTCTCAATCCACCTGGCTCTTTAAAGATGTAAAGATGAAACAAAAGATATTCCCTCCAGTGAAAAATTATCCTCATCCCTAAATCTGTTTGATGCTAATATTAACAACCAAGGCCTTGATTCATTGCCCACCTGCTCATGCAGGGTGGTCAAAAATTATTTTGAGAATTAGTCATATCAGAGTTGACTCAAAGATGCAATGAACAAGAAACACAAAAGAAACAACACTAAAAACAAAACTGAACGCATCAACATAGTATACTACGTGCCTCAAGAGAAAGATAGCAAAGCAATTCTACAAAGACACAAAATGCACTAGGAAAAAAAAAATCACATCTATGAAGTCTTTCTTTTAAAAGTAGTCTGTGATTATGCCTTACTGCTTTAAGAAAAAAAACTACTCCACACATTACACAGAGAAAAATAATAACAAAATAAATAATTTTTACTTACAGCAAATAAAGACTCCTGAACAGAAAGAATACTTTCTTCTAAACCTTCAGTGATGTTCAAGTACATAGGCTTATTATTTGGGGGAACCTTGACAGGGACATCTGAACAGTGCATTTCCCCCACTTCGCAAAGACAGAAAAAAACTACACAATAATTAAGCAATTATTGTAACTTTTCTTTGTGACACCACAAAATTAACAAAATTGGCATCCACACAGGAAAATTAATTGGAGCATAAGCAATCAGCTAATCAAAATGTTTCTGAATTCATAGGTAAACTTATCAACTTCCAAATCATCGCTATAGTATTTAGAGTCTTATAAGGTATTTTACATATATACTAACATTTTTAAATAGTTTTATTCACCTTCAAAAAATTTCTCCATCAAGTTCTTTGGCATAGCTGGTTCATATTCTTTGGTGCTATAACTTTCAGGGCAGAGAGAAGCTAAATGGGGTGAAGTCTCCTAATAAGGCCATTGAGGAACAAAATCCCACCCCCAAAATTTCCATTTCCCAGGTTCAAAGTGTTCCTTCCTCATATACACTGTCAAATAGATTTTGCTTTTGGTCATTGAACCTTCTACCATAAAATACAAAATTGCCATATCAACTTGCACATGTTACCAAATAGAGAATTTTAGAAACTATTCATTTTCCTTACTAAAGATTCATCAACTTTCAAATACAGATCTAAGGACAGAGATAATAACCCTCACAAATGACAATATTTAATCCCAATCATTAACTTCAAATTCATCAGACTGTTTTTTGGGTGCAAGCAGCAATCTTCTCAGTGAGACATTATTTGTGTATCAACTAAGTTTAAAAATTTAGAAGATACCTTCCCTAGAAAAAAGATAATTTGCCATTGTAAAGGCTTGTATTGAAATAAATTCTCAATCATTCTATAAACTCATCTCCCTTTACTACTTCACGTTTCTTTCCTAAAAAGAAAAGGGGGGGGGGGCATTTTACTCAAAGAACTTCATCAACAAAACACTTTACAATGATCCATGTAGAACATCAAAAAGCTTATGTTCCAGGGAGAGTATAAAACAGAAAACGTGTAAAACTTTTGTTAGAATTTTCAACTGAAATTAACTAAACAGACTGTCTTCAGAGCCTATAATCCCCAATATTCATGAAAGCAAGAGTTCTCAAATTACAAGCCACATAATATATCTTCTCCCAAGAGAAAAGCAGCAAATGGAGAGGCCAACAGTCATATTCCCTTTGAACAGGTTACCGCTTAAGTACACTCCTTAAAAGATTCTGGTATTTTAAAATAGAAATTATTAAATAATGCTTTCATGGTTATACACTGTGGAGTATACTATAAAAGCAAAAGTATTTCACGGGGCCCAGTTTCTAAAACCCTGCAGTTTCAGGTTTAGCCTAACTTCTTAAAATTATATATAGAAATATCAACCTTGCAAAAGACAGGAACTTTTCTCAGGCTAGGGTCTCTGATGTGGATACAGAGTTGTGGAACAGCAAGGTTGCTGGCTCAAGGACAGACAAGTTACTGATTGAAATGTAAAGATACTAGGAAATAGCTGTAGGGAGAGAGAACGTTTGCTAAGATCAAGCTTTTGTTGGTGGATCAACTTAACCTTTTGAAGACGCATTATGGAGTGTCACTTTGTTTATTTCAATGATGTTACTAGTTTTCCATTTGTTAGCCATAATTCTGCCGATATCCTTGTGTCTTTGTAATGGTTAAATCAACTGAATTTTCTTGTAAAACTTCCTTGTCTTTACAATAGAAGGGAGAGGCTAAGTTTGGAAGTGGCTGCCACATTCAGCTTTGCCCCTCATAATGAGGAAATTACTGAAGTGCAGTCTGTCCGGGCCTCAATGCATTCACAGTGCTTGAGTATTCAAGTAATTCTTTTCTTCGTATCCATTACACAGGGAAAAGAGGTGTAACAATACACTAAGCAGAATCTTCATTTTCACCGAAGAACCAAGCTAAAAACATATTTGAAAAGGTCCAATATGGGATCGCTAAAGGGCCAAAATAACTTAGCAGCTAGAGCTTTAGTTTATGAATTACGCTATGTTCAGAGTGTGGAAAAAAAATCCATTTCATTAGTTAAAACTAAATTTCATATTGTTAGCAGGGAATACCTTGTCTAGGTTGCCACATATCTGAAAAAGAAATATGGCGACACTTATTAGACAAGTATCGGCTGCACTACGAATGATGCTTAAAAGAATTAGGCCTGGAACGAATACTGGAGTTCCTGTAAACCAAGACTTTCCTTTTAACAGTGAGCAAACAAAGGCCCACAGAAGGTAACGGGTAAGGCCATGAAAAGTGAGTTACAGTCCCAGAGCTGGCACCAGAGCCTGAACCTCGCCATTCCTACTCTCCTCTTTCCTTTTACGTAACATTCAGTCTATCACTGGAAGACACTTACTGTTTGCATATAATCAAGCTTCAGTCCTGCCAGCAAGCATTCAATGTCTTTGCTCCAATCATGATAATCCCTTAAAAATACCTGTATAGTAGGGGGAAAACTCACAAGGCACTATCCAGATAAAGTATAAGAAATGGCTAAAGAAAAACATCAGAAAAAATATAACGTGAAGACTAAACCACTTGTTTCTTGGATTTTCTTGGGAGATGACAAGAAAATTCCACTGAATAAGTCAAATAATATAAAATGTAAACAAATACTAGCTTTACAACTCCCTCTAGTGGAGACAAAATATCAAAATGTTTCTATAATTATATCAAACAAGGCACTTAATAAGTGGAAGAAAGGCTGTGCAATAGCCTTACCTCTAAAACACATGATTCTAAGCTCAATGGAGGTTTATGATTCTTCTAGAGAAGCACCAATATAAAAACCAAGAAGAAAAAAAAAAAACGAGAGGCCCAAATCCGTACTGCCAGGTGCAAGTTTCTGTCTGCCATCTGTTACTCAAAACACCTGCCAAGAGCATTTTCCAATATATCATCACTAAATGAACCATTATAAGCAAGTATAATCTTGATAGCACAGATAATCAAGTATTTCTGTCCCAAACCAACAGCTGAAGAATATATACATACATACATCATCGAGATAATTTTACCATCGAGAACCAAGCAATAATCACAGAGCTACTTCTGATGACACTGCAGAAAGTACATGTATATGCCAGCAGACTGGGAGATTCCCAAATGACAATAGCTTATTATTATTGTGGCTTTCCCAATAACTTAGAAGCTCATAGCAACCATTCTCACCACAAATATAACAACGACTGTATATCTCTGTAATATCTAACTATGAAATCACAAAGTATAGTGACTTTAGGTGGAAAGTATTTTGTAAAGTCACATTGTTAAATTACGAATGAGTTAACAAATGAGTTTTGAATTCTTATCTGAGTCAGTTTTATAAGTAAAAGTTTGCCTGAAATACTTCAGATGAGTTCTACTTAGTAGCAAGCTCTCAAATGGTACAGCAAGCAAGTAATGTGCTCTGATAAGTTGTAATGAGTTATGTTATTTGATTATTGATATGAATTATTTGATATGAATATTAATTGACTTGATACCATATCTCCATAATATTATCACCCTCACTCACTTGCACCCTAATCTGCTAAGAGTTGGAGTTTCATTTGAAATACTGTGAGAGGCCATGGTTTATGGAACTATCTGCTATACCTTGGCCCACAGTGTTCAGACTTTTACCAATGTACCATTAAGAATTGTAACAATTTAGAAATGATTATACTGCCTTACTTTTCTGCACAATTCTTGGAGGTTTTTTCAAACATGTGGACCTATTCATGGCAGTCCATGGCTTGATATTCCATTGGTCTTAACGTTCTCTGAATATTGAATTACTTATTTACTAAATCGTTTCCTTTTCTGAAGATTAAATGCACTTTCTCCAACTGATCTTCAATGCAAACAATGAGGGAATAGAAATGGAAAAGGCTAGATCATAACTGTAGAGGTGCTACTTAGGACAGCATGGAGATTGGAATTTGACTATACCTTTTTCATTGAGTTATGGGCAAATGTGGACAAAATCCCAACTGGCCCCAAAGCAACAAAATTAAACATAGCTTAGTAAAGCATGTTGTATTAGTAACTGGCCATTCATACTAGAAGGTCACAATGAGGACTATCCTACCACTGACACAGAGAGGCTCTCACAAATCTTTAGCAGAGTGGACTATGAGTCAGATGCAGTGTGCTTAGTCAGCTCTATGGCACATCTTCGGGGATACAGACATTCCTCCTACATAAGTGAAGTGAATACAACGTGATTCACTTAGCAGAGAAAGCAATATGCGTTAGCCCGCTGCTAACAGTTGTAACCCAGCCGCGATCCCAAAGCTACCCACCAGGTAGGTGGGAAGGAAAAGACTACTCTTTTCTTTAATCTCTCAAGGCTGCGAACTGTTCCGTCATAGGCTTAGGGAGACTGAGGAGGTTGAAAAGGCTTCTGGATATGCAAGCAAGTTTGTGTTTGATCAGCCCATTTATTTTCATTTGAAGTGAAAAAGTATACAAAGCTGAATTTTTATGAACAATTTTGAATTTTGTCACTGGAAATCTGAAACTCTCTAGCTTCTAATACCAATTTTTCCCCTCCAGCAATTATTTTTTAAAAAATTTTTAACATTTTTTATTAACATGAGGTTTCTTAGGAATATAACCATAATCATAACATTAAGAGTCAAATTGGCTAAATATTCTCTTCTTTCACTGGGCTAGAAACACTGTTTCTCTTATGTTTCATCTTTTAAGAGCTCCTTTTCCTCTGGAAACTCTCTTCCCCAGCATGCAATCTTTCAAAGAGGTGATCCCAATGACTATTCTCTATATTATCTAGAATTAATCACCTCCTTAACCGATACCCCCTTTAAAATTTTCACCATACAATACACCCAGCAGTAAGTTCTCTCTAATATCCTACCCATCTCTCTAATATATTTCACAGTGAAAAAATCACCTGTCAGATATTTTTTTCTTCTTTACGATAGTGATTACTTCAACTGAACCCCTCAAGAATTCCAGAGGCTAAATCCCAGCCAACTACCCAAAACTGTCAGGGTCATGAAAACCTCATGCTGCAGGTTCACAAAGCAACAGAAAATTATCATCCCCATCCTTGCCACAACAATTGTTGTGAGGGACTCTGCCAAAATCCAGAAGCCCTCTCTAGGGTCACAATATCAAATGCTCTCTGGGACCTGGCAGAAAATCTACAAGAGCAAAGAAGGTGGGTTTAAGTGTGTGAGCTGGTGTCTGACAAGTGGGGACTGTGGCCAGCTGAGAAAGGAAAGCCATTGCTCAACTCCAGCAGCCTCCTGACAGCTGCGAATACAGGCCAGGTGTGGCCAGGACTTAAGATGTTTCAAGATAAGCCAGAAATTCCAGAGTGCTACATGAAAATTTTCAATCTTTAAATACAGATTCAATTTTTTAAAAACACTATGCAACCAAATAATGCATGAGTATGGACAAAATCCAGTGAGCTGCCAGTTTTCTGTCTCAACCCTAACTCTACTCCAGCCACATGGGTAAAGGTCAATTGACCCTATTCCTTGTTTCCTGTTAATACTGATCCACAGTAACTATTTTAAAAATTACATTTAGAAAATAGGTCATATCCACAACAATCACAACAATTTCTTGAACTTCTTAAGACAAGTGAACAGATCTGATGTAGATGAAGGGGACAGGAGAGAGGGAGGGAGAAAGAGGAATGGGTAAAGGGACAGGAAAATCAACTACAATGTATATTGAGAAGTTAAAATAAATAAATAAATTAATTATTTAATTAAAAAGAAAAAAAAGAAATGGGTCATATCAAGCATAGTCTCAGAACAAAGGAAGCTTTTTATTTTAGTCAATAAAGAAATTTGATTCAAACTAAAACAAATCATAACAAGTAAATTGACTTCCACTAATAACACTACTACTGCAACTATATTACTGCTACCATTTACTGAACAGTTACTTTATGCCAAAAATTCTGCTAAACTCTTTATAGATAAATAATATGATCTCCTCTTACTCCTTTCTTCTTGTAATCTATTCACCATGCAGCAATCTGAAAGATCTTTCAAAAATATGATCAGATATCATTTCCCTTCTTAAAATCCTCCACTGGATTCCATCACTCTCAGAATAAAATACAAACATCTTATCATGACTTACCATGATCTGGACCCAGCCCACATCCTCACCTTACCTCCCCCACTCACCCCTTGCTCACACATTCCTGAACGCACAGCCTCAGACTATTCCACAGATACACAGTGTCTTTTCCCAACTTCCCAGATTTACATTCCTTGGTGTCTTGGCATAGAATGCTCTTGCTCAGTCTTCTGCATGGCTGGCTCCTTCTCATGAATCAAGTCTCAGCCCAAACAATGCCTCCTCCCTCACCACCCTATCTATTGCAGTCCCCTACCAATCACTTATATATCACCCTATTTTGCTTCGCTATCATTTATTACATTTATCAGTAATAAATTATCACTAACTCAAAGTTCTTTATTCACTTGTTTACTTGTTTATTGTCTGCCTCCACTAGGATGTAAACTACCCAAAGCACCACAGCCATGTTCCAAGCACCTAGAAATTAGGCCTCTGCTTTCAAAGCCAACCATTACCTCCTAAATGAAAAGATCTTTAAGAATTCAACCATCTCTCTGATGGTATCATTCACAGTTGTGTTTTATTCTCTTCTCAAAAAAGGAAGCATTCCACTCATCTACCCTTTAGAAGTCCAAGTATCGATCAGGTTTCAGAGTTTTGGGGTTTTTTTTAAAAAGAATTATAAATCTCTTCAAAATGATACAAGACGATATCATTTTGATTAAGAAATAAAGTTGTGGGGCCGGCCCGGTGGCGCACTGGATAAGTGCGCCGCTTGGGAAGCGCGGCGGCGCTCCCGCCCGAGGGTTCAGATCCCACATATAGACCGGTTCCCGCTCAGCCAGTGAGCAAGACGCAGGAGCAACACCGAGGGTTGCAATCCCGTTGCCGGTCCCCGGTCCGGTACGGGGGCAACACTGAGGGTTGCGATCCGTTGCCGGACACGGAAAAAAAAAAAAAAAAAAAAAAAAAAAAAAAAAAAAAAAAGAAAGAAAGTTGTAAGGATTGGGTTTAGGGTCTGTTCTCTGAGTAACTTACCTCTTTCTCCCTTTCATAGTCTTCATTGTCATATTCTTCGTCTTCATTTTGTGTCTGTAGTGCCACACTGCCAAAGTCTAATGACATGGTTCTCCTGTGGGAATGAGATGATGTTCCTAAATATCCCATAAAATCTCCCCAGACCAAACTACATAAGAGATGCCATACACAAAGTCAAAAGACAACAACAGGCTGGAAGAAAATATGTGTAACTCATGTATGACAGTATTCCAAACATAAAGAGAGTTCTTACAAATTGTGATTTGTAGAAAATATATGTACGACAGCAATTCATAGAAAAGAAAAATGCAAATAGGTAACAAAACTATGAACAGACCTTTCTAGTGGTCTGAAAAGTGTAACTTTAAACATTAAGATTTTTGCCCACACAAAAAATATGATAATAATAGACTTAGAAGTATGCCAAAGATAAAAATCTTAAGACTAAGCTCAAACAAAATTTCAAACTTGATGTATCAAACATGGCACAGGTACTACCCTCTATAATTTGTTTCATTCTTTGAATATCACAAATCCAAATTTCATTCTTCACAAAAAGAAAGCCCCTAAATCCTGAGTTAATGATTACTACCCAGAAACCATTTACAATCTGGTAAATTCCTAGAGCATACAACAAAAATATAAGTAAGTGTTAAATGTCCTGCTCTTAATCTTGATAAAATCAGGTTCTGGCTAGTCAGGAAAAACAGAAGTGAAGGCTGTGAAGCTATACCACTGTAGGATCCAGTTCCAAAAGCAACAGTTAGAGTTCCCTGGGGATCAGTCCCTGCTGGGGCAGAAGCAGCAACAGGAAATGGGTTTTCAACTACTTACAGTCCAAAGGATGCTGAAGATTTAAATTATACTTCGGGATCCTGACACTACACACAAAATCTGCAGAATTTCAAAGCTCTGAACAATCCTGACCAAAAAAAAAGTAGGCAGGTGTCCTCAATTACCGGGCCTAATATTGCCCTCCATTCAGTCCACTGTTCGTGCCAGTAAAGTGCACTTTGATGGGAGCCTGAGCCACAACTCATTCACTACACCTTATGGGCTCTAAAACATCACTAAATTGGAAGTAAAATAAGAGGCTTAGAGACCCAGCAATCCAAATGCATTTTACCATAAAGAACATAGCCTCTTGGTATTAACAGTTAAGAAATATTTCACAATCTTTTATGTAAGCTGTTTAATCTGACGAAATGGACTATGAAAAGATAGTCCATTTCATCAGATCTAAGGAGCCCTTGATTGTATGATGCAGTTCCATTTCCACCACAAATAGACACAGCCCAATTAAATTATGATGCATTAATTTTAAAATGCAGCCTATCTTGTAGATGTTAAAATGAGAAAAGAAAATGTGCATGTTTGAATACATAAATACGGTATTGCAGATTAAAACAAATTACTAATTGCAGTGCTGAAAATCCTCCTATGTCAAGTTTTGGTTTTTGTTTTCAAGGACTGAATTATATTTTTGGCCAAGTTCTAATTTGCAGTCCACCTTCTAATGCCTTCCTCTCTGATTCCTGCACCCAGCCCATCCCTTTCTTTTTTTTTTTTTTTTTTCCTTTTTGTCTTTTTTCGTGTCTGGCAACAGATCGCAACCCTCAGTGTCGCACCCGTACCGGACCAGACCGGCAACGAGATCGCAACCCTCGGTGTTGCGCCCGCACCTCACTCAGCCAGTGAGCGGGAACCAGTCTGTATGTGGGATCCGAACCCTCGGCGGGAGGGCCGCCACGCTCCCAAGCGGCGCACTGTAGCAGTGCGCCACCGGGCCGGCCCAGCAGCCCATCCCTTTCAACTCATATCAACTCAAACTCCTCACATCAACTTAAACTCTTCCAGCCTCTGCTCCTTAGAACATACCTACTCCTTTCTACTCTTGTGCCGGGGCTAAAGGGAAAAGGGACATGGACACTCTTTCACTGAGAGGGAAAATAAATAAGCTCAGGGAGTCTAAATCCTTGTCTCCACCTAGCACCTACAAGAATCCTCTTATACACCAGCATAGGATGAAGATCTGAACACTGTAAAGAGCCTATAATATAGCCGAAATGGTGAGAGGGGAACATACACAAAATCACTTATCTGGAGTTTTTTTCACTACTGCAAAGTGGACTTGATAGTCTACAGAATATACAGAATATGAAAATACTAGCCTATTTAAATCCCATCTCCTTAAGAGATAAGATTAAGCTGGACTTTAAAGACATCTCTGAATCCTCCTGGCAGAAAAAAATCCTTTCTGTTTCTGAATTCTTACTGTGTTCTCCACTTCTTCTTGCTTTTAACTACAAATACAAGACAGAGTATAGCATCTGGGTTAATTTCTCCTTTATTAGGTAAAAGAAGAGAGGTTTTTTCCCTGGATCCTTCATTAACCTGCCATCAGTTGATGTTGGATGTTTAAAAAGAACATTAAGATTTATAAGAGCCTATTGCTAAATATAGCTATTTTAAATAAAGAATTACTTTTTCTTAGAGAATGAGCAACTGTATAAAGTGTTTTTTTTTAAGTGAAGAGATTATAAAGTGTTTTAGTTTTTAAGTGAAGAGAATGTAAAAGACTAAATTGTACTTTATTTTATTTATTTATTTATTTTTCTTGACTGGTAAGGGGACCACAACCCTCTGCACGGTGCTGTCCACACCAGGCTCAGCCAATGAGTGCACCAGCCATCCCTATACAGGATCCAAACCCATAGCCTTGACACTCCCAGCACCGCACTCTCCCGAGTGAGCCACAGGGCCGGCCCCTAAATTGTATTTTAAATGGCATTTTAAATCGAAACCATGTCATTAAAGAAGATATCTGAAAATATCTGAAAAGACCAGAATCTCCCCCACTGGGAAAGAAAAGACATAAATAAGTTTTTCTTAAGAAAATCTCAAACTTGGGGCCGGCCCGTGGCTCACTCGGGAGAGTGCGGTGCTGATAACACCAAGGCCACGGGTTCGGATCCTATATAGGGATGGCCGGTTAGCTCACTGGCTGAGCGTGGTGCTGACAACACCAAGTCAAGGGTTAAGATCCCCTTACCAGTCATCTTTATTAAAGAAAAAAAAAAAGAAAGAAAGAAAATCGCAAACTACCGGAGACCTTAAGAAACAATTTTAGGAATGAAGGGAAATCTGATCAATTTACTGTGGTTAAAAAAAAATTTTTTTTAATGGTGAAAATGGGTAATTAGTATTTTAACTGAGATTTTAAATAAAAGCTAATGCTTTTCTTTAACTTATTAATCACCACTAAGTACCATTGCTATTAGAGACTTTACTGTAATATTCAGAATAGAAAAGACTGCTTTTAAAAAAATTAGCAAGATAGTAAATCCAGAAGCCATAAAGGAAAAGCTTAATGGAAACTTAAGAACAAAACATTAAATTTGTATAAGGCAAAATACATCATTAATAAGTCAAATATTATGTATGGAAAAAAATACATAACAAAGTCGCAAATAAAATAATAAATGTGAAAAATATTTGCAAAACACATGACAAAGTCACAATATACAATTCTCACAAAGAAATGAGAAAAAGACAACTCAATTTTAAAATGGGCAATTGACATGACAATTCTTTTGAAAAAGAAACGTAAATGCTCAATTAACTTGAAAAGGTGCTTAACTCATGAAGTATTCAAAGTGTCATTTATACAACAAAATGCAATTTTCAACCACTAGACTGGAAAAAAAAAACTTGATAACACTAGTGGTGGCTATTTTGTATTTTATGTGACTGTGAATTGCTGGTAAAATATGAACTGCTAAAGCCATCTCCAAAACTATCAATATTAATACACTGAAAATAAACATTTTCCCTAGTAAAATTACTTTTGAGTTAATCTGGCAATACTATGCCATTAGTAAAAATAATAAAATATTCCTGTATTTATTGACTCAGAGGGCTGACCATTTAAAAAATCAAGAAGCAGAATAAGAACACAAGTATACTGTTTTTAAAAATAGCAGTGTAGTTAAGACTTTCTTCTTAGATAGGTAACTTTTTCTGAACCCATTAAGACTATAAAAAGTGTGTCCATCTGTTACACTCAGATCAGACAGTGCTCTGTCCCAGCACTCATTTTGTTGTCCCTGGTTATTTTTCCTTTGCCCTCACTGCAACAAGACCAATGGATGTTCAGATGGACAAAAGATTACACAGCAAAAGTAGCACTATTTTTGCCTCACCTAATAAACTGTAAGTACCCTGAAGGAAGAATGTATCTGCTCCCTTATACATGGTAGGTACACAACAAATATTTGTTGAGTGAAATAATATATGCATGTTACCCTATAGGAATTCATTATTTCAATAAAATTTTATTGAACACCTACTGTGTGCCAATTTACATCCTAGATGCATCTAAAACATGGAACCAGCCATGAGGAGCCCATAGTGTCTTAGAAAGACAATGACATAAATAGTTACAATGATACATTGTAACGAATTCTGTAGAGGAGAAAAGTACAAAGCACAAATTAATTTTGCCTAAGAAGGAAGAAAGCCTTAGAGAAGTTGCACAGAAAGAAGAGCTTTTAGATTAGAAATAGATCTTAAAGGACACAACATAGTTTTACGTCCCTAAAGAATGAGGGCACTCCCAACAACCTGGGCTCAATTCTGGCTCTTCTATTCATCAGCTGTGCAACCTTGAACAAATGGTTTCCATTTCTGTATCTATCTCAAAGACTGGTTATGAGGATTCGCAAGATAACCCACATAAAGTGCTTAGCACTGTGTACCAGTCAATACATTTTAGTTTTATTACTATTATGACATTACTGATAAATAGGAGTCTGATAAATACAGAAGAGGTTACAAGAACAAAGAGTATTCAGTGTATCTTAGACAAAGTGAATGTGGAGCCTGTGAGAAACCTTGCTTCAAATAATGTAACCTCCTCTGGAATGAAAATGCCACTCCTTTCAAGATGCCCTTCCCAATCCTGTTCTCCCTTGGAATTCGTCATTTATTGCACTTTCAGACTCTATTTCTTATGCTGATCATATAGTTTCAACTTCAGCCTCTCTCAGTTGAGAGCATTCACTATCTTGAGAGTGCTCGCTCATTATGTAGGTATAGGGTGACATTCAGCTTAAATCAGACTCAACTCCATGACTACAAGATGAAAAGAGTTAAGTACCACAAAGGGGGGTTATAAGAACTGCCCTGAGAATCAGGAAATTCTTCTTGCTTACAACCTAGCTTCCCTTCTACAGTGGAAACAGCCAGAGCACACTAGCCTGTTTTTGACCTACAACTCTGGCTGAGGAGGCCTATTCATTCATTCAACAATTTATCAAGCACTGCTCAAGATTACAGAGTTTAGCAGGACATTATGGAGGGGGTTAAAATAGACATATAAACAAATGATGACAACATCTTGTGATCAGTGCTAATGACAGCAGCTTGGACAAATCGATTCAAGGTGCCCAGGGGACGAAGCGAGTAATGCAAAAACACAGTTAGCGCCCATAGGCTGAACGAATCTATCAATGAATGGCCTTGCATAAATGAATGACCTTACCAAGGAACTCAGTTTGGCGTCAGACACAGCACAACAGATACCACGAGACCGAAGCTGCACGAAGCCCAGGATGCCTGGGGCTACTGGCTTTGGGGCCAGCGTCACTTGGGCTCGGTCAACACACGTGCACAGAGCACCCACTATGAGGCAGGCGTGGCGTCGGGTGACCGCAGCAGGGATCCCTAGGGTAGGGTCTCGGGGCGACCCCAGCAGGCTGGAGAAGAGACGAGAAGGGCTTCCCAGGCGTTACTTCTAAGCAGGTCCCTAGGGGAATGAAGAGGTCTCCACGACACTTCAAAGTTAAAAGCTGAGCCCAGCAAGCCGCGGATAGTCCACCACTGCGGGTTTTGGAGAGGGGGTGGGTCAGCGCTCTGGGAAGCTTCGCCCAGGATGCTGAGTACCCCGCAACTCCTCTAACCCCAGCCCCAAGCCTAGCTGTGAAGCAGAACTCACAGGAGGACACGGACGCTGTCGCCGCAGGAAACTCTAGCCCCGACAGAAGACCAACTTCTAGCAAACCCCCTTACCCGGGCCCTAATCCACTAGGTCCTTCCTGGTCACAATCAAACACCGGAGCCCGGGCCCTTGAGAAACAATCGTCTCCTACAATCGCCGGCCAGAAGCTCGCCTGGTGGGCGGGGCCGTGCCCGCTAGGGGCGGGGCGAGGAGGCGGAAGTCCCCGCCCTCGTCAAGCTTGGTTGAGAAGTATGCCCGCAGTTGCAAATGTAAGGCTGTTCGAAAGCCGGCGCCACCGGTGGCGGGAAGCTCCCCCTATGCGCCCATTGGTAGATTCGTGAGCCAATTACGAAAGGGTTGACCCTGGAGTGAGTGGGCTTATCGGTTGCCTAGAGATGCCAAAGCACCTCCCCTGCTACCTGAGGCTAGGATGGACCTGCCTTACTCGGGCCCCTTGCCCCTCGGTGCAGAAGGAGACTGGAGCGGTGACTCGTGCCCCCCGCACATTCCACTCCTAAACTTACCCGGTTCTCTGCTGCAGCACTTAGAATCCCCCCGTTCCCCCACCGAACTGTTGCCCTCGAGGTTTCTGCATTTGCCCTTCTTGTTCTCTAAGGCGCCTGCTCCCCCAACACCTAACAGCCTTAGATGTTGTTTTGCTTTGTCTTCTAGCTTACTCGGTCCCGCCTTGCTTAAATTTGTATTTCTTTCGTTACTGATAAGGCTGCACATTTTCCCACATATCTATTCACTACTTAATTTCCTCAAGGGTGATGTTCTTGTCAGTATATGGTAACCTGTCCTTTAATACAGCACGACCCAGTCTCCAGGAAAGCCCGGTACTGTATCTACCTTCTCTGGTTAAGAGGGTTCCAGTGAATATCAAGGAGTTAGTTGCAGCAGATCCACATATTCTTTTATCCCTTTGCCATGTGTACTCGTATGGAGTAAAATGGTTGTTTAAAGGCTCCTCATAATCTGGCTAATTTTCCTTTACTACCTCACTATCCCAACCTGTGATGCCTACACTGATCCCTGTAACCCTGTCAACTAGCATAGGGTCTGGCACATAATCGGTGCTCATCCCATAGTAGTGGAATGAATTAAATCACGGGCTGAGATACCAGTGTTCCCAGAGTGCTTCTTTTTTTTCCCCCTGCTCAAGCTGTTTCTTTCTCAAAAGGAAAAAAGGAAAAGCTGTTTCTGCTCAAGGTGTTTCAGCTCAAGGTGTTTCAAGCTGTATATCCCTACCTTACTTCTCTCCTCCTCTCAGTCTTCAAGATAGATGAGCACCTCCTTTGAAGCCTTTCATGACACCCTCCCTTGCTTGGCAGAAATAACCTTTCCCACCTCCGTACACTGTACGTATCCTATTATCGTTCTTATAATTAGTTGTGTGTACAAATGTGAATATCTTGAAGTACTCACTTTGCTTCTTGGGCATCCAGCATGCTTCATGGCCCCTGGTAGGCACTCAAAACAATTGTGTTAAATTGTGTTAAATAAGTAAATGAAATAATGAGCAAATAAATGAGGATTTGGGAGGGCCAGAAAAAGCAAATAAAAGGCATTCAGGTAAATAGCATTTGTTGAACTTGAGCCAAGGTATCTGTTTGTTAGTAAAAACCAGACTTAGGCACTTTTCACATCCCACTGAAGTCCATCAGCAAACTGTAGTGTCCTGGGATGAGGATTATGATGGAATGCTATAGCAAGAATGCTAAGTGATCCCTGCCCACACACACTTGCTTCTTAGAAAGATAACAGCACAAAAGATGTAAGGGGAAAAGCACATGACAAGGCAGTGTTGATAATCCCTTACACGTGCTTTACAGTTTGGTAAGTTCATTCACAAGCATTATCTCATTTGGTCCTCACAACAACCCTGTGGGGGGCCAGGACAGGTATTATCCCCATTTTCCAGTTGAAGAAACTTACATAAAAAATAATTAAGTGACTTGTCCAAGGCTACGCAGCTAATACAAGACAGACAGAATTTGAACCTGTCTTTTATCTCCAAATCCAAAGCTTATCACCACATACAAAATATTTTAGTACATAAAATATAGCACATAAGTGGCAAAAGATGCAGAATAAAGAAGAAATCAGAGCCTCCCCACCTCTAAAAATAGATTTGAATGAAGTTATGGATATATTATAATCAATAAAATTTTCTTTGATTGCTTATCCTGTTTAAGTCCTGGCCTAGATGCTTGAATATAAAGTGTAGGGCAAGACCCCCATCCTCCAGATACCAACACTCTGTTTGGGGTGCAAATGCTTATATAGAAAGACAAATGGTAACACATACACAAAAAAAGTTTAGTGTATAAGTCAAATAGGCAATTATTATGGGACAAGTGAACATCCAAAGAAGGATCCATCAAGAAATGATCCAGTCGGAAAAGGAGAAAGTTCAACAGGCAGGTTGATTAGCATGAGTGAGTGCAATGTGAAGACCAGACCAGCAAAAGTGAAGGATTCTTGTGTTTAGAGGAGGATTGGAGAAGTAGACAGTATGGAGATAGTTTATAGAAGAGCTTGAAGCCCGGAGAAATAGGAGAGGCATTCTACAGAGGTAAGGCATGGTGTGCACAAGAAATGAACTTAACACGTCCAGAGGAACACAAGCAAACAGAGGCATTCTGGGGTAATGAAGACAAGTGTGGGGGATGAGGGGAAAGCTGCCAAAGATCTTGAATGCTGAACAGGAGATTATCTGTGGAATGTTGGGTTAATGTTTGCCTCACATTTCTTTTTTAAGCCATCCATCATCACTTGCCTTTATTTTATTTTATTTATATATATTTTTTGAGACGGGCCGCACCATGCTCAGCCAGTGAGCGCACTGGTCATCCCTATATAGGATCCAAACCCGCGGTGGGAGCGCCGCTGCGCTCCCAGCGCCGCACTCTTCCGAGTGCGCCACGGGCTCGGCCCCTGCCTCACAGTTTTTAAACAAACATACCTGTGAGCAGTGTGGGACGCTAACTTTACCAAACTTGTTTACATTTCAAGGAGAAATATCATGTTGTTGATGAGATGAGATCCCTCCCACTAACAAGCATCCGAGTGCGCCACGGGCTCGGCCCCTGCCTCACAGTTTTTAAACAAACATACCTGTGAGCAGTGTGGGACGCTAACTTTACCAAACTTGTTTACATTTCAAGGAGAAATATCATGTTGTTGATGAGATGAGATCCCTCCCACTAACAAGCATTTACAAAGGTGGAGTTAAACCATCACTTCTCCTTTTTCCCACCTTCTCTTTGGTGTCAAAGCTATCAGGAGGTCAAAGCAATGCCATCACAAAAGTGCTGTCCAAAGCAGTACCATCAAGGAGCACTATCCTCAAAAGAGGACTGAACTTAGAGTAAGAAGACCCGTGTTTAAGTTATAGCTCATCTACCTACTAGTTTCTGTCTACAGCAATTTATTTAACCCTCAAAAGCCTCAAAGTCTTTATCTGAAAATAATATCTACCTCTCAGGATGGTGGGAGATGAGATTCTGTGAAAGCACTTTTACAATGTGGAAGCACTTGGGCTAGCCAGTTATCTCGGTTAGAGCACAGCCTTATAACACTAAGGTCATGGGTTCGGATCCCCATACTGGCCAGCCACACACACACAAAAAGATTTAAAACGTGTTGCTACATATTATGGCTTATTGGACTACAGTACACACTGGGGTCTTAGGTAGTGAGAAAAAATCAAGAAGGTATAATTGCCACAACCCAACACTAAGGCATTCTGGGAGTGGCTGTCACAGAAAGAGAAGGGTGGATGTGCACAGATGGCAACAGGAGCTTATGGAATGGGACAAAGAAGGAGTCTATGTAAAGGATATGAGAACAGGACCCAAAAAAAGGAAGTGCTACAGATGGAAAACGGAGTGCTTGGAAAGAACTGAGGAAGATCAGAACATTATTTAGAGTTCATTCATTCAACAATGGTTTTTGAGTGTCTACTTTGTGCCAAGCACTGTTCTAGGGGCTCATTTAATATTGACAAGGGTCAAAATGCCTGCCCTGCTCAAGCCTTTTCTCACAATAGCTATTATGACCTCATCACCAATACCGCCCCAAAACCTCCAGTCCTGGCCAATCATATTCCCTTCCCAGATAACTGAATAGGACTCCATAAAACAGAGTCAGTGGTAACAATACAGAAGAAAAGCAGCATTTTATAACACTTGTTCATATTTTATGTGAAATATACTACCTCCCTATCTGTGTCATGTATATGGTGAAGCCTAGATTGAAGATCATGAACTTTTGCCACTCAAAATCAAGGATCAGGCGATGGGGGTCCGAGGGCATTGGCCTCACCCTTCTAATACCCACAACCAGCCCAGGGACAACAACCGAGCCACCACAGGAAGTGCCCCAGGTTCTAAGCTGGGACAGTGGGGGACCAAGGGCCTGAGCCACACCCCTCCAACCCAGTGATGACCACTGAGCCACCACCGGAAGACCCTGGTATCCTGAGTCAGGGCGGTGGGGGGCCAAGGGCTTCAGCCACACCCCCCTGACATCTACATCCAACCCAGCAATGACCAAGCCACCACCAGAAGCCCT